CCCCCCCCCCCCCCCCCCACTCCCCCTTCCTCCAAACAATGTTGATTTTTCAATTTCTAAGACTGTAAGACTGCACAGACCACAGCACCTAAACAACATTGAACTGAGGGACTGGGGGTATCAGAGAATTAATGCTAGATGCAAATAGAATAGAATAAAAGGTTAAATAATTATCAAAAAGCATCATAATTTTTCTTAAGTGTCTCAACTACAGTACATGTACTTTTGTCACTCATTGTGGGTACAAAAAGTGAAGCAGAACAAATATAAATTTAATTTTGGCAGTATTATCTGACTCAGTAGTGTTAAGTTTTGCTGATATTGAAATGTCTGAGTTTGCACCTTTATGATTTGTTTTAATACACCTTCCCACTTGTAAAACAAAAGATCAGGCAATGTTGAGCTTTAAACTATATTGAGCTTGTAGTTTGTTTGACTCATCTTTTCCACTGCTTTTTTCTTCCGCTGTATTTTCTTTTCTTGTTTTCTTCCTTCATTCATTCAGCTGGCCAGTGATTCATTTAATTGTTTGTTAATTTTCTTGTTCTTTCATTTATTCATTTGGTGTAATGCTCACTTACCTCATGCGTGATTATGTTGAGTGCAGAGTTTTCATTTATGTGTCCCTCGTGAGTAAGCTAAAAAATTGAAGACAAAATAATTATTACGATTGTAGATCATATCACCAAGAACCAGTACCAATACATACACAGTAATCAAGGATCAGCCTTAACTTATTGAATATAATTATCATACAAAAAGAAAACAAAGAAGTTGAAAGTACAATAGTTCTTAATCAAGGAGGATAATAAGTTTTATAAGTCAATGCTTTGGCAACAGTAATGTTGGGGGTGGTGGCAGGGTGCAAAGAAAGCCACTTTTCAAGCTTCCCCAGCCCATGTAATCTCTAGAGTTTGACATACTAACTGCATTAGGGTGCCATGCCTACCACAGGGCAGGAAAAAACCCGTAGGTCCGATTGCCTGGGGCAAGAAAATTTTGCTCTACCTTGGGCAAGTGAAATTAGTCTAGTCAGTAATCTTGTGAGTCTGAGAGAAAATGTCAGCTTGATAAATGATAATTTCCAGACAACATTTGTCCTCTGACTGTCATACCAGCTGCCACTTCAGCGAGTAGCATTTTAGTGGGGGCAAGTGAAAACTGAAATTTACTAGCCAACTGGGCAAGTGAATTTCCTGCCCTTGGCTATCACACAAGAACATGAACCCAATGGTGGGTGAAAATCTGCTTACTGAATCAAGATCTTTCAGTGAGAATGCAGCACATGTTACTTCACCATACTGCCAAAATACTTCTCTTTCACGAGTCAGAATGTGATCAAACATCTATAAGAGAAATCAGAGAACTAACTTTTGAATGATGCTCATGAAATAGGATATTAGTAAGTGTTTTTAAAATGCACATGTATACAATATATATAAATCAGATAGATAAAAACATCTCTGCCAAAAACCACCACAGCTGTCACAAATGGGTGTTTCACATTTCCATTTTTTAAGTGTGGTTTCCAGTTTGATGATGTGAACTTAACCTGCTGCTAATTACTTAAGGTCTGTTGATAAACAGTCAACCATATTAGTCCAGCTGTTAAGGGACAAAATTGTTCGTTTTTTGATAAAAGCATCAAACT